AATTGCCGTCTGGAGAGGGCAACCCGCAAATGCAGCAGTGCCGTCCGTCCGTTTTTTTACTACGGGCGGACAGCAAGAGGTTAAAGTAGAATTAAAGTCTTTTTTTTTAATTTTACATATATTAATGCTAGCAAGCAGTAGATATATGCAAAAACAATCTAAAAAATAAAAATGTTACCAAATAGGTAAATGCTTCCCTCTGTCACTGCTGCTCGCTGCAGCATCAAGCTTCCTCTGAACTGCCATGCAGAAAGATCTGGGCGGGCACATGCGCAGTGGAGATCACCGGCCCCGGTAAGAGGTGAGACTCAATAGAAGTCAATGCAGGCAGCCATGAACATGCACGCTGGACAGACACCGTGGGACTCGAGGAGTCTGCGCTGGATCAGAGACCAGCACCAGTGCTGGAGGAACTGCTGGAAACGTCTGGTAGGAAGAAGATGATCGGATCGAGAGACATCACTTAAGGTAAGTCCCTACAGCAGGATTGGGGGGGGGATAGAGTTTAAGGTCACTTTAACTTCACCCTAACCCCAAAACCTCAATATAATTTCGAGATTTCTGCCTAACCAACAGACCTAAAGCCTTACCTTCACACCCTGAGGCATGACTGTACAGAGGTACATTTAGGATACAAAGACTCTGCTATGAATTAGGAAGATTGTGATTACAGACAGCCTTTAGACAAAGGGAAAGGTTGTGATTTTGGTTTTCCTTGTGCACCACTGCTGTTGTAAATGTGTGTGTACATACAGTATATTGTCTCACATTGTGATTGGCTCCACTAAAGTTGCATAATACGGTATTGCAAAAGTAAGAATGATCAAATGTGATCAATGGTCACCGGATACTGAAAAGTTGGCAGATTTCAGATGACTTTTTATTTCCTTGATTGATTAGAGATAAGCCAGATTTGCTTGACAAAGCCCACGTGGAGCTTGTCCTAAGTGCTAGTAGGTTCTTGGTAATGAAAAACATAATCCTGTACTGGCTACTTATATTTCCTGGGGACTCAACTGTATTATAATTCATGTAAATGTGAGGTATAAATGTTGGCAACCCCAACTGACTCACTAGGTCACTTTAATAACCTAAATAACCCCTAGCACGCCCTCCCAGCTCCAACATATTTCTAATGGGCAATGAAGCAGCCCTTCATAGTGATGGGCCAATAGGCTGCAGACCTGTTTTTTATACCTATGGGCAGCTTTTTTTCTCTTAAAGTGATATTAGAGACAAAATGTTTTTAAGCTTTTTGAAATGCTGATGAAATAACTTTGATTGATCACACTATAGAGACTACACTTTGAATTATCGCTGCACTTGTCAGTGTCTTAAACAGCTTTACACCATTAATAGTTGGAAGTTTGCACATGCTTCTGGAATACAGGTTTTTTAAAGATTTATAGATATAGTGTACTCTCTCTGTTTTTATATATTTATTTTTAGTACAGCAGAGGGCGATCACATATATTGTAGGGCTGTTCAGATCCCAAGTACCATACTGGTACAAGTACACGTAACAAGTACAGACACTTTTTCAGCTCCAAGACAAACTCAAAAGTTAGGAGGCAGCTGTCATTTTTAAGGAGCATACGGGGCTCCTGGGATTTGTACATCCCTGTTTTAATGTATGATTTTATATATATATATATATTATATATTAGGGATGCACCGATACCATTTTTTCCAGACTAAGTACCGATACTTTTCCAAGTCCTTACAGATACAATTACTGATACATTTTCGTGTATTGTCATGTGACAGTTTTTCTAAAACAAGACAGACTAATGATTTCAGGACAGTGGTGGCGCGCCAGAGCCCTGTCACAGCTGCAACTGCTGCAACCCTGGCAGTTCTCAAGAAAATGCAAAGTATCAGCACTGGTATCTGAACTCTTATCTGAACATCCCTAATGTATTGTATTTTTAGCGCTGTTATATAATTATAATATCTTTGGATCAATTTGGGTATTCTTATACCGGCTTGTTACTATTAAATATATTTAGGGAGCACAGACTAATATTATATTTTATAAAGTGTGTGATTGCCTGTCCAAAGACTTTGTGCACTACCTTGCCTGTCTGCTGGAGCTACCCAGATAGTTCTGAGACTTTGCTGGATGTAAAATAGGAGTATATTGTTCTGTAATAGACTCTGTAATTTCTTTAATGGGCTATTCCATTCTGCCAGTGATCAGAATGTTCTACTTTACCTCCCGAGAGAGCTTACAGCTGTGCCCTGGTGTAACGTGTATGCAGGCTGCCATTGCTAACTGGACCTTTTCAAAATATTAGTTCCTGCCTGTCATGCTAATCGACCAGGTTCAGTATTTTCTAAATTACTCATTTTTAACAAGTATACAGATTAGGAGTTCTGACTTTCCATTCCACATACTTGTTTCCGGCCAGTGTTTTAGAAAGAACTGCAGTAAAGGACGGACAGGCAACTAGCATCCTGTTTATTTCTGCCAGTACAGACTGTTGGGTTGCCTGTAAATTAAAATAATCTTATCTACACTGGATCTAGCACAAAATGTACTTTTTGGGGTGTAATTACGTGTCTATGGTGTTTAGAGGCATATGCACGTAAACTAATTCTGTTGGCTAAAATATTTATTCTAGTCACTAGAATGAGTTTGCCAGTAAGCTCCTCTCCAAACACAGACTTGAGGTATGCTGCGGCAGTATTGCAAGGGGTAGGAGGTTGTGGAGATCTGGACAGAGGCAGACTTCTGTCTTTTTCTGAATTCTGAGGCAGGTCCTGGATGCCGCTCACCTTGCATTTGCATTATGCGTTCTAGGGATGCACCGATACCAAGTACTGTACTTGATACAAGTACAAGTACAGATACTTTTCGAGCTCCAAGACTAGACTAGAGAAAAATTAAAAAGTTAGGAGGCAGCTGTCATTTTTAAGGAGCACACGGAGCTCCTGGGATTTGTACATCTCTGTTTTAATGTATGATTTTGTTTTTTAAATCTATATAGAGGGATGCACCGATACCATTTTTGGGAGTACACGTACTAATACTTGCCCATGTACTTACAGATGCAAGTACTGATACATTTTTGTTTATTGTCATGTGACAATTTTTCTAAAACAATACAGACTAATGATTTCAGGACAATGGTGGAGCGCCAGAGCCAGGTCCTAGCTGCAACCCTGGTAGTTCTCGTGACAATGCCAAGTATGGGCACCAGGCCCGGCACTACCGCAAGGTCAGGCAGTCGCCGCCCAGCTAAATTAGGACCCCACCTGGAGCTCCTCCCACCGGACCGGAGAAAGGCTGACCTAATGATAGTTTTTGCTTTATTAATTTGCTGCAGATGATTTAGGGAGCTCTATGAAGTGAAGAAAAACTAACAATGTGATTTTGAAACCACAGTCCTAGCACTAGGCTGCTTATGAATTTTAAGGTAGCATCAGAAATGCAATGGTGTAGTCTTCATTCTTCTTTCCATTGTCACAGACATGCATGTTTTAAGGAAAGACAAGACAGAATATTAATATACCTCCACCTTTCTGGTAGCATCTTCAGAAACAAATGGTCAGAGAAGTAGCACTTGCTGGCCACACTCATCCCTTGGTGAATCATTTTATTTTCAATGTACCACCAGTGAACATTTTCGGTTTTAACAGCACAAGATCTTCACACCTGACTGTGAGGATAAATATAGGGATTAAATTAGTGTGAGAGTATGGGTTAAGGGTTGTGTTATGGTTTGGCTTAGGGTCAATGGTTGGGGGTTACTTCTTTAAAGGTTATGTTAGGAGGACGAATAGATTAAGAGTAAACGGTTCATTTTAATTGTTAGAATAAATCCCAACTCCTGCCAAAATGTAATATTCTGTTAAGAGCGGGGAAAGGCTAAAACCTCTGCTTTTGTCAATGCCACATATACGGTATCTATGTTTGGGAGATTTCTGCTTACTTCCTGTCAGGATAGGAAGTGAGGGGACTCTCTCCTGTGGGGGCAAAAACAAAAGCACATTTTTATTAGAGTGAGTAAGGAACTTCTGACAATGTTTTTAAAACTCGTTGAGCATTCATGTTCCAGTGACAACGGCTCTCATATTTGTTGACATGGTGTCAGAGGAGACAGAAATTGAGGGAAAATCTCCCCACTTTGATCCCAGACATAAATAAAAACCTTATAGACATGTATACTTGTACACAAAACTTGCACTTCAAAACTAAAGGCAAAAAATATGGGTTGGAGTTAGGCTTTAAAATATGGTTAAGTTGTAGGTATAGAGTGTGTAGCAACCATGCCCTAAGCGAGTCCCAGTATTATTATTTGCTTCTACCTGCTGCTGGGGTATGAACTGACAACAGAACAAGGAGATACAATAATGTTGGGTTATAAATATTTGTGTCTCCCTTACCAACTTTTATGAGGTTTTTGCCAGTCGGTCATGCTGGGGCAGGGCATAAATATTTGGGGCTGACCTTGTGAGTGTCTCTTCCCCTTGGGCTCTGGCCTGGGGGACGATGTGTTGCTGACTGTGTCTAAGTTAGGACTGCTGCCTAGGGAAGTGCTGGGGCGAGTTACTCTGCTGGAAGGTGAGGCTGAGCTGGATCCTTGCAGAGGCCTGTTAACTCTTTTGGGAGGAGGAACGGAGAAGTCTGCTAACCAGCAGAGGTTCTATGATAAACAGTGAGGCCAGTTCTGGCTTAAAGGCTGTTTGCATTATATGGCTGGAAAGTGCATAAGGAGAATGCATATGTCCTGGGTGTCTGTAGCCCTCGCCCTTTTTCCTTGTGAGTACCACGAAAAAAATTTCAACACTGAAATCCCCATTCTGAAAGTAAATGCACCAGCCCCAAGTCCACGGACTGGACACTACTGTGCAAATAAGAACAAAATGGCAAAACTACATGATGACAAAAGATGTAGTCCTATTGAGTTCTTTATAAAAACATTAGCAATCTGTCATGAAAGTTATATCTCTAATATATAAGAAAAACAGCTTTTTTGTTTTGTTTTGTTTTCTAGCATCTTGCTACATTTTTGATGGATAAAGGTGATGCTCTGGGCACGGTGGATGAAGCTGTCAAACGACTGACGCATCTGGAATCCAAGGATAAAATCTGGGCCCAGGAAATGGTTCTCCAGGTTATGAGCAATTCCATCAGCCTTCTGGACTCTGGCACACAGGTATAGTGTTATATAATATTATTATAGCATTGATATAACCACAGCTAGTGTTGGCATTAGTGGAACAGGGCCCTGACTGATGCTGAAGGAGGCCCAAGTGAGACTTTCACTGGCAGTTACTATGGGAGGCCTGGAAGTGTCTGTACATTAAGGCTTCCAATGTAAAAAAAACAAGTTGAACATGTGTAGTGACACAACTACAGTAGTGTGACTTAACTTAGTTGTTGCCTCTAGATAATTAGATGCATTTATGGCTGTATAGCAAGGGCTCAGATTGTGTAAAGGATATGAAGATGGAGGTAAAACCTCCAGATACGGACTGACAAATATTTATTTTCTATATTAGGACGAGTTGGAGAATTTCTCTCTGTCCATTGTCCAGCACTGCCAGAGTGTACAAGGCCCACCTCGCTATCCGCAAGTTCTCCTAATAGTATGTCAGGAGCCGGATCAGACCAAGCCTGATATTCACTTCTTTAATTGCGAAATGGAGGTAAGTAATAGAAGCTTATTATTAATTACTTTTCTGGACATTGTAACTTAACAATATACTGCATACTAAATAAACAATATACAGTAGATGTCTGCTAGTGTCTTTCAATTGTTAGAGCGGCTTTCTACCCAAATGTGGTGTGCATTAACAGAATTGTTTTTGTGCATTGGTGCACGTTGCGTTAGGCAGCTCATTCATTTTAAATAGGCTGAGAAGGCACCATGACGCACAAACATTTCTAATCTTTTGACCTCTGTCAATTAAACCTTTTTTTCCTCTAGCCTGTGATCAAAGGTATATGAACAATCCATAAGGACCTTTGCCCCCACTGAGGTGACAGATTTGCCTGGACTGTTTACCTCCTAGTCAATTGCCCCAACAACACTCTTGATCTCTGATAACTATAGATATTGCCTAACTATATACAATAACCATTACCATCCAAGTGTGTCAAGAAAAATAGTTGTATTTCACTAATGGTTGTATTTCATTACTTCTCTGGTCTTTGGATATTTCAAAACGAATCCCTTGAGGTGAAAATTGTGCCTGGAACTTCTTATCTTTGAGTCAATTACCCCAAGAACACTTCTAAACACTACCTATATATAGCCTAATCATTTACAACAGCCTTTACCTCTCACCAACAAGAAACTGTTGTTTGTTCTTTTTTGTAAATACTTTATTTTTTTAATTATTATTAATATACAGGATTTATATAGCGCCAACAGTTTGCGCAGTGCTTTACAATATAAGGAAGACATTACAATTACAATACCATTCAAGACAAGATAGAAAGGAGGGCCCTGCCCATGAGGGCAGAGCATGAGGAGGTAGCTGTGTGGGGATGAATTGTTTGAGAACGTGATAGTTCAGTGGTTTGTTTGAGGTGGGATAGGCTTCCTTGGAGAGATGAGTCTTTAGGGATCGCCTGGGTTGGGGTAATGAGTTTCAGAGGAGACTCTAGAGAAGTCCTGGAGGCGAGCATAGGAGGTGTTGACAAGGGAGCAAGAAAGCAGGAGGTCTTTGGAAGAGCGGAGGAGATGGTTAGGGTGATACTTTGAGACAAGGTTTGAGATATAGCCGGGGGCAGGGTTGTGGATGGCATTGTAAGTAGTAGTTAATATTTTGAATGTTATCCTTTGCGTGATTGGAAGCCAGTGGAGGGATTGGCAGAGACTGAGCGGTTGGTTAGGTAGATGAGTCTAGCAGCAGCATTCATGATAGACTGAAGGCGGGAATGCACTGCGGGCGTGAGGCGTGGCTGCATTGCTATTGACTTCATTGAACCGTCACGCCCCCTCCCACCCCTGAACGCAGGTGTTTTTCGTTGGTAGATCTCATTGAGCTCGTCATTTGAAAAATATATCTCCAGACCAAAAAATGTGGGTGCCACTGCCATAGACACACTCCTAAACATTGTGGACAGCCTTCCCAGAAGAGTTGAAGCTGTTATAGCGGCAAAGGGTGGGCCAACTCAATATTGAACCCTACAGACTAAAACTGGTATGCCATGTGCGTGTAAATGCAGGCATCCCAATACTTTTGGCAATATAGTGTATATATAATGCCTAATGCAATAGCCTGCGCACACATATGAAGGTTTGTTTTTTTATTTGACTGCAAAAGTGGAAATACACTTTAGGGTTACCAATAAAGGGTTGCGAAAAGAAGAACACCAGACTCCAGCTTTGAAAACAGAGAAAAATGACTGGTTTGACAATGACCGAAGCAGTCTTCACTCCACAGGATAGACTTCAAAAGCATCCAAACAGCTGCACACTGATAAGGTCACCGCGTAAAGCAAACTTTATTCGACTCCAGCGCGACACGCAGTCCCTGTGTTCCATCAACTCTAGAGTTGGTGGAACACTGCACACAGGGACTTTGCAGCATGGCTAGAATCAAATAAAGTTTGTTTTTTGAAATGACCTCATTGATGTGCAGCTGTTTGGGTGCTTTTGACACCAATAAGGAGTATCGCTTAAAGCAGATCTCTAGGATTTTCAAACGTTACCCTTGCAGTGGGGCTAACCCCACAATGCAAGGGTTAACTGCTTGTTTTGGTGTAGGGAACGGAATAAAGACACTCATCCAATCCTTAATCGTGCAGCAGTGATCGTTCACCTGTCTCTCGCTCTATGACTGGCTCAGCGATACAGAGCACAGCAGCACTTGCCGCTTACATTCCTTGCATAAGCTTAAATTTAGACTTTTATTCCATGAATCACACACATAATTATCACAGTCTCAACGCGTTTCGTGGCTTTAAGTTGGCCACTTCTTCAGGAGGGTGTAATGAGACACTTTAAGCAGAGTGGTAGCGTCTCCTGGCGTGTATTGGGGAACTTTTAAAAATCCTGGAGTGCCTCTTTAATACTCTGTTATAGTGCAGGTGCACTGCAGCACACTGTATATGCGTGTTGGGGAGAAATTAACAATAAATGGTAACATGCCACAACATACATCATAATGCACATTGTGATGTGAAGGAGCTGTTAAATACAGATACTTTGGTAATAAATCAGAGCAGCAAGGTTAAAAAGCTAACCACTAATCTACCATGCCACCCGCTTTTTATTTTCTCCACTTGTCAATTTTCTTTTCAAACTCTTCATGAGAATTTAACAATATTTACAAATAAAGGAAGTGTCAGATTTTAAATATTTTCTGTTTTCAAATAGTAACTCATGTAGTTTGAGCAGCTATATAGTCTTGTTCCATATTTAACATGTAATAAAAGTTTATTTTTGTACTTATGTGTCAACCTTTGATGCTCATACTGGATATACTATATAGATAACAATATAATTAAACTTTATTGTTTTATTATCTAGACATGATTTAATGAACAACCCATTAAAAAAAAAAAAGAAGAAGGGAGGCACCTATAAGCTGAGACTGTGAAAAGAAAAAAATGGGTGGCCAGATTATTTTGTTTTTGCCTGAGTAGCACTGTTAACGTTAACAAGTGTTTTGCTCATACAGGGCAAAACTACAAGTTGTGCTTATAGCTAAAGTGACGATGTGTTTTCAAAGGCCATCCCTGAAACCCATTATACTCAACTTTCCTGGAATTCCTCGCACCTTCTTGCTCCTCTGCAGCTCTCGAGAATACCCAGTACTTCCGGGTATGGGGGATCATATGACTTGCTCTCCTGTGACAGTGACCGGGCCTTGCAGCCAATCACTAGGCTCAAGTACTGTTACATGACATGACTGCACCCCCACCGCAGCCCCACTTGTTGCCAACCATACACTTTTAGCACCAGTTGAGGAGCACGGAGCTGCCAGGAAATACAAGTAAGGGGGGAATATAGGAATCAGGGGATGCCCTTGGCAGAGATAATGTTAGGAGAAGTGAGGAGACGAAGAAGCTCTGTGTCTAGTCCAGGTTGTGGCTTGGAACCTACATGGGATTGAGGATTTTCTCACCACCTCCATATTGCAGCGCTGGGTGCCTGAGCAGTCGAGTAGAGAGAAGCGGTGGTGTCACTTGGGCAAAAGAAAAATTAATTACATGATCTCCCATACCTAAAATAAGCGGATACATACCTTGTTTTTTCTGGGGCATAAGAGTCTAAACCTGGAACTTACACAACTTCTTTTCCTTGATTCCACAAGGGAACAGAGCACTGGGGGAGCGAAGGATAGGTAATAAGCAGCCTTGGGTGAAGTTGTTCAAAAAGAACAAGTTACATTGCCGTGCATTGATTGGGTGCCTGTGTGAGCTTGTGTTTGGAAACATATGTAAAGTTTTACTTTTAAGCAAGACAAGAGGCAGGGAGATAGGTAACGGACTGCAAACAGTCTGGCAAAAAAAAGCTGGCAAACTTAGTGCATGCAATAAGGGCCCATCTACCCCTAAATTCAAACACTGTCAGTGAAGCCATTGTCAGAAAAAGTTTAAATGAATGCTACATAATCATATGTTTTACCAAGAAAAACTGGTGGCAAGGCATATCCTCAGTCTCCCCGGACCCGCCACACTTTAGCTAGTGACTTGGCAAACAAGCAGAAGCAACAGATGAATAAGTACGTACTTCCTTCTCTTTTGTAAATAACAAAGGTAAAGGTATCTCTTTGCACTGAGATATAGCAACACGTTGTAAAATTCTCTTTTGGCTAAAACAATATAAAGATCCAGTGACTCTAGGCATATACTCCAAGTGGGGCCAGAACTAGCCACACATTCACAATGTTTCACTGACACAGTGGGACAGGTATGGCAAATGTGTGTGTTGACGAATATGCATTTGGTGCTGTTCAAAGAGCCCATTCCGGGAAAAGTAACAGTTTTTTTAATACTCGAGCCTGATATTTAAGCAGGCCGATTGCAGCGGCTGATTCACCTCCGCCCCAGGATACTGTATTCTAAAAGCAGCACATTAGTGATTAGTTGGCTTCAGTCACTGTTCATCCAAGAATTTTCAGATCAGCTTACGCAACAAAAGCCAATAAAATTTGTTTTGCCAAACGGAAGGGTGCCAACAGGGACACGGACTGCACAAATTTTGCTCGAGTCAGCAGTGGTCCCCCACTGTATTGATAATAGGTTGCACACACAGTTAACACTCCCTCCCATGCCTGCTTCCCCTTCTGACCACTGGATATGCTTAAAGAGGGTCATCCGTTTTCATTGGGGTGGGTTCTCAAAGCACCCCTATTAATAAAGGCCATGGGCACTGCACTCTTGTGGCACATGTAGAAACACAAATCCAATGACTCCCTATTGAGTCATTGCATTTTGGATGCAGAGAATTTAACAAAGCACATTTAAAACTATAAAACAGAAGTTTGAAAAAGTTGGAAAATGTCACCTGACAATGGAGAATGTTCAGGTAAATCTGACCAGTAAAAGTGCTAAAAATAGGTTAAATGGCTCTGGTAAATGTAAAGCTAATGACATTCACCACTTTATAAATGTTGATGAAGAAAGATATTATATGCAAATACAGTATTGTCTACATTACACAGTAGTATGTATGTGTGTATATATATATATAGCATCAAACATCTGTCAAACATATCTACATACATAAATAATGTTAATTAGTTAATCAATTAGTCATTTTCTTACTTCTTTTTTCTATTTCTTTGGCTGCAAGTATGTGATGTTAAATGAAGTCTGCATGGCTTTTTGGCACCACCATCTGGTTCTTTGTGGCAGTACAAATATGTAATCCAAATACGTTTTAAAAACAAACTGTCACAAGAGACAAGCTGGGCGACCATTGCTAACCTCCTACTGAAATTGATATCTGCCTAGTTGCCATGCTGTTTTTTCTGATATTAATGCTTTTTGAGTCTCTGACCAAGAACAAGCATGCAGACAGTGTAACATTAAACCCTTTGATCTGCATATGTGATTCTGGTCAGCGATGGAGACAGTATTGTAGTACAAAAAGGGTCGAAATTAAAGCAAGACAATTAGTATTTTAAAATAGGGATTAGCAAAGTCAACTTTGCATTCACTCTTAACAGGTTTCCTGAAATATGATAGAAATGTTTATCTACATTGTTGAGTTTTAGATTTGCATTGCTGTCATATGAGGATAAGATGCATAGTAATATGTAATGAAATTGAAAAATTTTTTTTAAACAAAGCGAATTGCCTCCAACTTAATTTGATTCATCAGTAGATTGCATGTTGCAGACCAATAATTTCTTTCTTCAAACAAGTAGCTTAAATTTCAACACTTTTTCTTACAAAAATAATTTCACACAATTTTATTATTTCCCTATTCAAACATCAATGAGAGCGGCCATAACTACCTCCCTAACGGAGCTCAACCCGCCTTCAGGATCCATAGCAGCAATGTGGTCTGCTATGGCTATTGTTATGCCACTGTGTGTTGGGCATTGTATAGCTACTGGTCAAGACCTACAACCAACATGTCAGGCAGGGACAAGTCTTACATCTTTGACTTACTTTGCAGCTCTGTGATGTCAGGTGTCTAAATTCTGAGAGCTGCAAAGAAAGCTGATGCTGAAATATGTGTCACATTTGCTCATGTCCTTTGAAACACCCACCTTTCACCATGTCCACGAGTCAGCCTGGTACCATGGCACACTTTGAATGGTACACTTATTTTTAGTGCACAGAAACCCTGTTTACAACATTGGGAGTTGTTTCTGTTCACCACCCAAGCCAAAGGTCCCCAATATTCCCCTTTTTAATTCCAGAGATATGGTGAGTTTTGTTGAACTGCTAAAGAATGAAACACTGATGGAGCGGCAACATCAGTGGACTTTATCTCGTTACCATGTGCATACTTCCTTGGGTGGATGTAATTGCATTATGGTTGCCAACCTTATTTAATATAAAGTTTGTATTTTATAAGGAAACGTGTTCTAAAAGAAATCTTGGGTCTCATTGCTGAAAGCTTTTGAGAATGGCATTTGCTTGGTTAGCAAGATAATCCATTGGTTTACATAACTTCTAAATCACTGACTTAAAACAAGCATGCAGATCATGAATTCTGAATTCACATTCTATATGCTTGGTGCATGCTTTGAGAAAATAACATCTTTAGAGCAAGGTCTACAATGACTGCTCCAATGTTTCCCATAATACAGGTTTTCTTTAAATGCTGATTCCTAAGTGCAGTAACCCTTGGCAAGCAGCTCGATCTCATCTTAAAATGATATGAGCTCTCCAGAGTAAATGTTGTTTGGTTTCTATAGGTTCCCACTTAGATGTTAGCACTTAATAATTCAAACCCTTTACTAATTATGGATGCATGTTATAAACCTTGTTGGGCTGTAGGGACGAAATGATTATATGATCCATATTTTTTTTCCAGGCTGATATGGTCCATGCAGATATTGAAAGTGCACTTGCTGACATAAAGCATGGGAACAAAATGAGGCCACAGACACTCAAGTAAGTAAAATTACATTAAAGTATCTTGATCAGGCAATACTTGGGGCTCTATGTCAGGTCACAGCTATATGTATGATGGTCAACTTTCTGCCTGTTTAGGATATTCATGTTCTAGTTTGTCATACCAGCCATCAACTAGCATGATGGCTGGTGGGGCATGCAGGGAGTCGTAGTTCTCTTACACAACCATGATCCAGAGATGTATCCACATGCCTGCTGCAGAAAAATGATATTTCATTCTTATAGTTATTAGTCATCAGTGTAAATATAGTTATTGACTTCACAAACTAATTTTTTATAATGTAAAGATTGGGGAACCCCTGTACCACAAAGCCAGGGTATGTTTCATACCTAGCAATTGTTGACATCTTTTATATGCAGCATCTGATTGGCCAGAATTCTCTGCCAATGCAGTTTACACCTTCATGTGGTCAAATAGCACTGTATTTGAATAGATCATAGAGGTTCCATTTTACCTTGACTTTAGATGCTACACACTGGAAGATGAATACAGTGTATCCCAGGGAGGTTACATTTAGGCCGGCCATACACCAGTAGAATATCCTTCGAAAAAAATTGTTTTCGCAAAATGCGTTACATTTTTTTTCTGATAACTAATTGGGGCAAATGGACAATCATTTTCGACCCCAGTGACGGAAAAAATCGAAGCAACAGGATGGAATGTGGTTTTCCTTCGAGAAACTCCATTAATATCCAAAATCAAAAACAAAAACGTTAAAACATTTTTAAACAAAATTACATTTTGAACAATTTTCGTCAAGTCTAATGGCATTATCAAATGTTCTGGCAAGATTTTTCATATAAACATTCGTACAAAAATCTACCAATGTCTGGCAGCTTTACACTTTGGAATAAATGTGAAAATATGGACAACATCTAAATCCTTGGTTCTCAACTGGTAAGTCGTGACCCAAAAGTGGGTCGCGAACCCGTGTTCAGTGGGTGGCCGCATGCCTTCCACTTTTCTAGGTGAGATACTCCTCAGCCTCCCCCTAGCTCAGCACTCTCAGTTCTCGCGCCAAGCAGCCATTCAGAATATGCTGCCTGGCCCTAAGTGTCAGCTTGAGGTGGGGTGGGATGGGCTGGAGCTATGGCCGCGAGGGAGCTCCATCCATACATGTATTGCTTACAGCACCCTTGCGTGTCCTGGATCGCGACCCCCCTGTTCACTTGCGGGACCCCATATGGGGTCGCGACCCACACTTTAAGAAGCACTGCTGTAGAGGTACCTGGACCGGAGTGACGTGACATTCTGTCTCCAAGCACCTCTACAGGGTGTGCAAGGGAGGTGTACAAGCAATGCACATATGGATGGAGCTCCATCACTGCACAGCAGCCCACACTAGACCCCAGGCTGAGGACCCACTCCAGTTCTCATAAGATAGGGAGACTGGGTGGATCTTAAAAAAATAAAATAAAATAAATATTTTTTTTCTTTTAGGGTGTGTATATGGGTGTGAGATTGTGTCTGTGGTTGTGTGTGTCTGTCAGCATTTTTGAGGGCCCGTTCACACTAGTACAGTGTGTTAATCGAACAGTCCTGTGCCATTAATGCACTGTACTAACCAATCGCACCTACTATGTGTTCTTGTGTGGGAGGTGCACTGCGTTGCCATTCAATTAAATGGCACCCCAAACGCACCTCCCACCCACAGTTCAATCGCCCTTACTGAAACGTGAGGTACCGCAATGCCGTGCATTCCTTTGCAGTGCAACTTGGGTTGCGACTTAATGACCTAGGGCAAATGTGGGTCCTGAGGTTACACAGGTTGAGAACCACTGCTCTAAATTATTGATAACATCGGCATAACGTGAGAACGAGAACACAGCTAGAGCCACACTATTATGAAACATGAAATTCAGTGCATTGTATTTTCAGTTTCAAATAGAATAGCTATATTAGACTGACCCTTACATGGGCATACCTTACACTGAATCGTTGCATGTCCCTATGCCAGTATTAGAGCTGCTTTCTTGTTACACCCTTGTTGGGTGTATCTTAAGTAAAAGAAAACACTTAGACTTTAGTTGATAAGGGAGTTATAAAATGCAGGAACATGGAGTGTCACATAGTACAAGGTTGATATTTATTACATCCACTTGCAAGGACATAAGTGAGGCAAACTATAAAAAAAATATTTGAAGAAAACATATTTTTTGCTGAACAGTTCCTCCTCTAGCTGCATTGTCTGTAGTATGTTACTTAGGTATTTATTCCCACACCTATGCAGAGTATTATAGGACAGTATTAGGAATATATTAATTGGCCATGCTATATTGCTGACCTTTAAGTACCAGGCAGAGTGTAAATAATTGTATTTATGTGAACTTGTTAAAGAACAAAATAGAAGCCCCAAATAGAAGCTGCAACTTTCCCCAAAGTCCTTGAAGTTATAATTTGTGCTGCTTCTATCTGAGGCTTGTCACCAATGCATTTTCCTTTGTGACAGGTTCCCACATCCCATCACCCTAGTGGATTGTAACTGTATTATAAAAAAATTGCACAGGTCATGTCATGGCATGGATGTATGCAAGATACTGTACATGCTTCTGTGGTGTACACAGTGAGACAACATAACTATTTTGTCTGATGGAGCTCTCTAATGGACCCTGCTAAGCAACTAGTCCATTTTAGAGCAGCTGAATTGTTGGTGACCATTGATTTATACATCTTTGTGCCAATCTTGAACCAACACCTTTTGGTTTTTTAATCTTGGAAAGAGCAGGAAATCGTTAGACCATTAGAACATTTTATTGCTATCTTTTTCTTCATTTAAATGATTTCTCATTACCTGCTGTCTGTTGTACAGGTATTCACCTGTCATCTCTAACTATAAGCCAAGCCCTAAAATTATTCTTAGCCCTACCCAACTCCCACATTATTACCAAAATGTATATTTTGGTCTCATAAAGGCACTGCCAGCACAAGAGCTAACAATGTTATACTTACCAGAACCAGGCTCCCAACCGATTCCTAGACCGGTCCCTCCAGCCTGTCTCCTCTTCTGCTCCAGAATGTAATGCCCCTCGGCGACCTCGCATCCTACACAATATATAGAACGTAATGACTCACGGGAGCCTTAGACTACTGGAGTGGAGGGGGAGTGAGGGTGAAGGGACTAGTCTAGCAGCCAGCTGGGATCGTAATTCAGGTGAGTATAACTTTGTTATTTTAGCTCCCTAGACAAAATGAGCACTTAACCCTTGTAGTGAGGTGGTAGCCCCACTGCAAGTGTTAAGATTTTATTTCCCCAGAGTTCTTCTTAGAGCACTAGCTATAGAGGGCATCTTTGGAGCTACTTCCCAGCTACTTCCCAGACTGGCTTTGTTGGCCACAGGATAAATTCCCTTTTGCTCCTTTTTTATATTGTTCTGTGAAACAAAAATACCTCTTTTTGACTGTAATGAAAGTGCTATTCTTGATTGTAGGGTTAACCAGGAGAGAATTAAGCAAAGAGAATCAATCCTTCCACCTGCCACTGCCCCCAAACCAGCCTTCAGAGATAACAAAAATCGAGTGATTTCACCAGCTGCACCCAATGACATTGGTAAGATATCATCTATAACTTTTAAACTTAAACTTAAAGCTGAACTCCAGGCGCATATTTAAAAATGCCATTGATTGTATTTATTAATTTATTTATTTTTATTGTATTACATTTATTTTAATGCAGCTAGTATTAATAGTTAAATATGGCTAGATTTCAGCCTTTGTAATCCCCTCTACAACAGTACTCATATTAGGAAAATATGCCAATCAGGTGTTCTGCATTCACATGTACTGAAAAGGAGCATGCTGAACGGAGGACAGAGAAGAGATATAGGGGTTGATTTACTAACCTTATAAACACACCACGAACATGTATACACCTCTGTAGTGTGTTCCCTCCCAGCATGATCTATGGGTGGAATCTAAACACCTTTGTAGTGTGTACACACCCAGCAGGTGTGTTGTGCAAAGCCCTGCCCTGAATTGCAAGGTGATGTTGTGTAAATTAGCTCTATGTTGTGTTGCTTGCGTTGATGAATGCAAGGAATGTAAATGCATGAGCTAACCATTTTTGTCTAAACTGTGAAGCAGCATTATATATGCATCATGTGCATGATTTTTCCATATATGGCATTAGTGGAAATATGCTTATAGAGACTTTTTGGTTGATAAATACGCTTTGCTGTGTAAAAATCACACGCACCTAGTGCGTGCGTGTGTTTAGGTTAGTAAATCACTCCCAAAGTCAGTTGCTGCTCTATCACTGTCCAATCCCATGCCAGGAGCAGGGAGGTGAGCAGACTGCTTGCTTATATGCAGCAGGGTTTCCAGGCTGGCTGTGCTTTTTGTCGAGCTCTATAAATCTCAGGACTGAATGAAAACTCTTGCAAGTAAAACAGCTCCCGTACATGTATTTCATCTGTGTATTTATCTGTTTGCCTGGAGTTTAGCTCTAAACTAACCAAAAATGTTGCAGTCTAATTGTACAATCTAATTTAGTATTACCAACAACAATGTAGTGCAAGGGCCTAACGATTGCATTGTTCAGGTATGCCCTAATAATACCTAGTTGTTGGTAAATCTAAATTAGTTTGTGCAGAGATTGTACAAATTCAATAAAACAACTGAAGAGCATATTTAGAATACCATAAACAACAATCAGGTTTTACTTACTGAAAGGTAATTTCTGATTATTGCATTTTTCTCATTGCCGTATTGAACAAACTGCTTCATTATCATAGCAATGATAGCCGTTTTTTTTTTCTGTTGCTAGTAAATGTTCAGGGCAATTTGGTAGGTCTGTGACATGCAGAAACAGAACAATGAATCACATAAAATGCTACTTCATATGCCAAATATCTGCAGCTTTTGTGTTCTCTTGATGATAGCATATATTATGTTTTCATATTTACTTTGGCAGAGTTCGATAGAAGAAGTAACATCTCTCAAGAGCCAGAGGAATCCAGGGAAGTTCTAGCAAAGAAAATTGAAAAAGAAACAGTAAGCAAAGCTTACATTTTTTTGGGTGGTGATCAATAAAGAAATCTGAAAATTATAATAAGACACTGATGGGCAGTACAACTACTTTTCCCTTTCTCTAAAAAAGAGCTTCTCAGATTGTCTAAAGTGGGCTATTGACATCAAAAGGAACATATAGGAGCACCAGTACAAAGCACTGGTATGTCATTACCATAGTCATTTCGCAGTTTAGAAAAACAAAATACCATACATTTATAAAGCCAGGGCCATCCCTATAATAAGGCAGCCTGAGACGGTTGCCTCAGACAGCATCTCATTGGGTCACATGGGCACACTTGCCACCCCCTTTCTGGCCAGAACGTCTAAGGTTGCAAAGAGATTGTAGCAACCTGTGTCACTCTGGCTGGCGTCCCGCCCAGCTCACTGACATCATTGGTTGCCAGGAGCTGAGCTGTGGCGTCCTACCCACCTCCTGGCAACCAACCACCCCCCCCATAACATGTGCAGCCAACCCCCCGCCCCTGATACCCCCTCCGGTAAATTGCAGGCGTAGTCTGGAATAAAACTGCAGTGTCCATCCCATAGTGGTCTCTTCCATATAGATAGGACCCTTGGGAGCTAATTCATAAAAGCTTGACCCAGCGTATAGCTGGACAAACTCCGTTCCCACAGCATTATTGCTGCTAGATGGAGCCGAGGAGCATAGGAATTATCTAATGTGAGTAATGGCATACGAATGGTGTTCACCCACCTATACGCTTGGCAAAGCTTTTATAAATCAATCCCATATTGTTTGCATATATAATTTCTTTATTTTTGTATTTATTCAGGAAAAAATAACATTTATAAAATTGTCCATGTAATGTTTTATATTTACCAGTAGAACAATAATAGCAGAAGATGTAGCTCTAAGCTTATCAGGCTGGCTTGCTGCTTTGGTATAAGTAGGCCAATTTTGCAAATAGCCCTCAAAAGTAGAGGCTCAATGAATGCTCATTGACGCATAGCTGAATGAAGTGAAATATTCAGTAAGAGCGGTTAAGGTCTGGAACTCACTGCCATCGGCAGTGATTTCAGCCACGAGTGTAGATTTGTTCATTCCATGCATACTCTTGTAAACATTAACTATTATTGTTACTCTTTAAACTGTGTTTAAGCGCATGGGTGGACGGATCTTCAATCTTTCTTTTGACAGACTGCAAGTGAGCTAGCATATTAATGTTCTTACCAGTATAGTGCCACTCTTGTTCAAGAACATTACCTGTTTCTTGAGTTAGCTATGGACTTTTCCCACAGTTTTATCCACTGAGGGTACCTGTTGAGATGTTGATTAACATCTAAGATGCCACCTTGTCCTGCTCAAAATGGCATAATCCTCTAACGTGTATATAATGTGGGAAATTGTAAAAGGAAATAATCTTCTTATGTCCATGGGTATCTTAAAGCGGGCTATTGATGTTTCGGCATTGTTGAATTGCAGTCAGGATGGTGTATGTTAATATTTTATAAGTTTGCCTATATAGACAATTTTTGGCTAAATCTTAGTGATTTAGGTTTCTTATTCATGAATAACTGGATAGTTTGAAGACAGAGAGATGCTCGCTCTCCAAATCGAAGTAATTTTTAAATTGTGTTGTGTGTCTTTTACATTTTTGTTATGAAATTTCTCATTTGAATCCTTACATCTCTATCACAGCAATGCTTAAACTGCACATTGGATGACATAGAATATTTTGTGGCAAAACTCCAAAAAGCAGCAGAGGCTTTCAGGCAGCTGAACCAAAGGAAGAAGGGCAAAAAGAATAAAAAGAAAGGACCAGCAGGTAATCATCTATTTATAATTATCATTGTGTCACCTCCCTGCTCTAGACACTGTATAATTTCACATCAGGATTCTGAAGCCGAAAGAGCTAAACAACAAGTTATGTTTTCTAGACCTTTTCACAAAACCACAATTAATGCTGAACTATAGACAGATTTCAAAATACACAACTTAATGCAACTATGTAATCATTAACACATCATTAAATGTATTTTTAATGTGAGCAGTGTGAGTACCTGAATTTGAACTGCTGTCAGCCAGCATATCAGGATAGGCATAAGTCCAATACTCATAGACAATTAAATGTGTATGAAAAACTTGACTTTTCATGGAATCTTGCGTAATGCTTAGTTGGGTCTCCCATAACATTAAAAAACTTGTAGGGAGGTTCGGTGGGCATAATGGGTGGTGCCGAGCTTGACTCTTACAGGAAAAGTTAAGATTTAAATATAAATTTGGTTACCTGTGTATATATTGATCACTTTGACATTAGAAGGTAATATTACTTTATGCTTTTTTCATATACTCAGATTGCAGTAGCTTGGTTTGTGGCATTTAGTGCAAACAGGCTATACTGCAGCATGGTGCAGTTAGCTTCCTTTAAGCACACCACACCTTTTAAACATGCCAGTTATGTGATTACTAGAGTATTGACTGCAGTGAATCCTAGGTTTACTTAAATATTTATGCATGCAAATTGCCTGAATCAGTAAATAATTTACAATTTGGTGCATGTAACTGGAAGTCTAGTAAACATGTAATTTTGGCCACCTTTTTGGGACCAGATTTGGGAAACACTTTTACACACAATAGTATTAATTTGCTAAAAAAAAAAGAATTTTGAAGCTGGCCATACACTGCTTAGATTTTCAAAAGAACTTTCGTATGAAAGAACTTTCGTATGAAAGATCTTTCTTTTGGCTTTCTATTAGTTGATGGGTTCAAATCGATGATCGATTTCAATTGTAGTGATTAAAAAACTTGAAGGAGCAGGATGGAAAAATTTTCCTGAATGAACGATATTCGAACATTGAATGTAGTTTTTGTTTGGGAAACTCCATTCATTCCAAAATCGAACATTAGAGTCAAAACAAATTTCAAATGACATTCGTCAAGTGTCTGATGGCATTGTTGGGTGATAAAGAAAGATCTTTCATACGAAAGTTTGTTTGTTAATCTACTAGTGTATGGCCAGCTTAACACTTGGGAAAGTGAACTTTTGATAACTTTAAACACCCAGTCACATACATAGAGGGATTTAAAAGAATATGAACTTATGCAAAATTACTCCTTTGCCATGTTTTAATTTCAAAGTAATAAACTATCTGTTAACATATAATGGTCATATACACTATACTGCTTTTTAAGATATAAAATCTTAAAGCCTTGGGGCTCTAATATGCAAATAGTCCCTAAAGTTACATTTATCTCCTCGTCTTTTACCACTGATACATTACTATTGCTCCATCAAAACCATAAGCAGCCTCACTGACCAATAGTAAGGTGGAGGAAGGGGTAGAGCCAAGGGCAACTAGTAATGGAACTAGGATCTAGTTGTTATAGTTATTTGTCCACTGGGGCTCCCCCCGATTATGGGGCTACAGGGGTTCTTTACATGATGGTTTGCAGAACCTATAGTTATTACAGTTCACTTTAAATCCTTATCTTTCAATAAATCTCCCATTTTGATTGAAAAAGATAACACAATCATGTCTTTGGAAAAGCAGCATTTTTTGTGTGATTGCATTTTGGAAATAATAATCATATTGCTATTCCAAATCACAGAGGGAGTCCTGACACTACGGTCTCGGCCACCGAATGAGCTTGAGTTCATCGACTGCTATCAAAAGATCAAGTTGGCTCTTAACCTCTTGGTAAGAATACTTATTAATTATGTGTAATTTGTCCCAGAAAATGCAACACTTCCATAGTGCTAACCACTAAGCCACTGTGCTGTGCTACTGATTTTTGCTATAATCTCAGGGTAATGAAATCTCATTTTGTGCTCATCTATAGACACTGCCATCTTCTGAAAAAATTATATTAAATATCAGATATTTTACATACATACCTTTATATTTACTGTATATATTTGTGTTTTCATTTTTGCAAATAAGAATGTGACATAATTTTCTGTACTCATGCATAGAATGATTATTCTGTGTGTTAATACTGTTTATTACATAATGTATGTATTTTAGTTTTTAATCGTCATTTTGTATTGCTTATAAAAGGGGGCCCAAGATGCTGAACCGATCAGCATGGATTTACTTGGGCTTTGCATTCATCTTTGGATGGCCGGCTTGTAACATTGGGGGATTCCAAGGTTTTCCGAGGGCAAGTGATTATATCCCTCTTGCATTTTCAGCCCCCTGATTTACTGCCTGATAAATGCAAATAATGGAGCTTCACAGATAGCCTTTTAAGTGGCATCTATACAACATGGCCAGCTTAAATTGTCCACTTCAATTGAAGTTTCGACAATTCAGCTTGAAGGTGATCATGGATTGCCAAGTTCAAGGCCACAACCCTTGTTCTTTTCAGTGTTTGATATTAATCCATGCTTGATTTTCACTTCTTCATATATCTCTTTAATTCATTGTGGAATAATATTTCTCTTCAGGCGAAGTTGAGAAAACATATCCAGAATCCTAGTTCTGCAGAGCTTATCCATTTCCTCTTTGGGCCACTGGAGCTGGTGAGCTAATGTTTTTATTTCTATTTCGCCCTGTCTGTAAAAATATACTTCATATAGCTAATACTGTATTAACAAACTAAAATAATTGCCATTGTGTTACACATTGTATCAGATTAAAATCAGATAGATGTTGCTTGGGACTGGCCAAGGCTGTAGATGATTTGTAAATAGAAATGCATTTACGGTATTTTTTACTGCTTCTTTCTAGCCTGATGGCTTGATCTGCCTGAGTATCTCCTGTACAATTTATTTGTTTGATTTGCTTTACAGATAATACAGAGCTCAGGAGGTCCAGATTTGGGAAGATCAATTACCTGTCCTCTCCTCTCAAAAGATGCCACAGATTTTTTGAAGGGGCATCTCACCCCAAAAGAAATGCAGATATGGGAAGCCCTGGGAGAACGATGGACCAAATCAAGGTAGGTAAAAGGAAAGTTTCATGCAGATCTGCGCAGGATTTGGCAGAACAAGATTCAGTCAGGATGGTCCAGTGAAGTAAGAAGCATACCTGGTAACTTTGTTTATATGAAAGGGCTTCTCTACCAGTTTATATATTTCCCTAAAAAACAACGATTTACTAACTGAAAACAGGCTGTTCACTTTGCAAGAGATTTTTCATTTTGCAAGGGAAATTTCTGAAATTGATGACAATCGAGGAATTGCAAACACAATTTTTGGGTAACTCTTTAGTTCTCCAAACCATAGATTGTAAAAGTTGTAGTCTTAGCATGACAACTAATTGGATAGCCCTCTCTTCATACAATGCTGGGTCCTACTAGTTGCACATAGGACACTATCTGTACGGAGTTAGTGAGTTCTCCTTTGAGTGCTTTAATTTAACCCCCCCTTGATCTACAAACATAATAGTTGGTTAATCAGTGTCCACAATTGACTTTAGTGTGTGTGTGTGTGTGTGTGTGTATAACAGTGAAGTAAGGAGTCTAGAATGTAACCTTCAGCAGATGAAGATAGGTCTATGCAAAATATTGTGTATTACTCCAATATAGTTGTAACAGGTATGGATGTAGTCCTAAGCATCTAACAAAAAGGACACTTTTAATTTCAGGACAGAATGGCCAAAAGAGCCTGTGATTCCTCAGTACATTCCTAAATTTAACAATGGATGGATACCTCCTCTAGACATCTTCCAGGGAGCTCCTTGGGAGCTGGACATGGGATATCCACCAGAGCCTTTTAAATCCAAGATGCAGGAAGAGGTAAGCACTGCTCTACATATAGCTTAATTATATGATGAATACAAACTAGGGTGCATTCTAACCATTATACCACAGGCATGTTATGTTATAAATTACACTAGATATGATATAGGTAGAGCAGAAAAAAGAGGCCTTTTCATGCTGTGATAAAGCAAATAAAATAATTCAATTCCCAAACTTCTGTTTGTAAATTGAACATTTTTGGGAAAAATAAGGAGTTGAATCATTCATACATCATAGTAAATTATAATTATGTTGTTTTATAGTCTATTTGTAGGATCATTCGGCTCATTGATGACACCCATTAATGATCTCAATCTTGAACCAACCTATTCATCTTCTTTGGCTCTGTAGCTTTACATGCTGGTACACTTCCCGTTATTAAATTACTGGCAAGATAAGCCTGCTGTTACCTCTACTGACGCATTCCCTCCTACAGGAAGAGCCTAATCCACCCTAATTAACCACACCCTACCTATATTTATGTGAACAGACTGGCAGATCCTCTTTTTCAGTACAAGAAAGTGCACTCTGTATTTTAGATTCTGTATATACCTATGTATAATCACCTTATGATTTTCTAATATTACTAATAATACTAACAACGGTTAATACATTTGTTGCAGCCACCCAAACCAATAGAAAACCTTGGACCTAGAAATGTAAGTGGTACCTCCTGTAAATGCTGTTTATAATGTACCTTCATTGGTTCAGATTATAAATTAACTATGCTTAGGCATGACAGAGGGGCATCTGGTTAGTGTGTTTGTGCTTGTGTGCATGTTTGTTTTATGTTTTAACACCATTTAATTACATTGTACTGTACCACACCAAAGAGTGTTTGTAGCACCTACAGGGTTGTTGGGGCCTCTGGAGGTGTAGACTCTAGCTAACACTCCTTTACTGAAAAAGTCAGAATGTAGATTAAAGTTCAATTGCAGCCATTTTTTTTTTTTACATAATATGGAAGGGTTACAACAATTTTCAAAGTGTTATTGTTTAAAAGTTCAAAGCCCATGCTCACTCCTTATTACTAATAAGGATTAATATTCAAGTGCCTGAAAGAAAGAGAGAGAAAAAAAGAGAGACTATAGGGTTGAATTACTAAAGTCCAATAGGCTGTTCACTGTGCAAGGAAATGCACAGCCTGGCTGATTTGGTTGATAGCGCCACTTATGCACTCTTTGTGCCTTAACAGCAGTAGTCACCCCAAGGCAGGCCTGGACCTTCACAGTTAGCCAATCATAATTATTGGCTTCACCAGGCAGGAGGTCATAATAGCCCTTTTGTGGATTTCCAGTGACAAACTGGACAATGGGGCTGGCCCACTGTTCTTGGGCCCACCCTTCTTTCGCTACTGTCTGCTCAAATGTGGTAAGGAATGTTTCCACATCATCAGTGGGGGCCACTATGCTTGCGTGGATTCTTGATAAGAAACAAGGTGGACAGCCAACAAGTGAGTAATCTCTTGCTAGTCCTCCATTGTACCTGCTCTACCAGAGCACCTCATGACAGGTCTGCGCTTGCATATTGGCCAGTGGCAGATAAATGCCATGTTTACAATTTAAACAGCTTTTCTAATTGTAGCATTGTCTGCTTGTATCCTCCACCGAATGTAAAGTTCAGGTTGTCAGGGATCACCAGCACAGCCATATGATAAACATAATGGTGGATTCAACAGCAAATGGAAGAGTGGTTAAATCACATAAAGTAGTGTCTCACCAACTCAAGGGTTGTTACCCGCATAAGGGGTATCACAGTCCCAGAACTTTTGAATGTTCCTCAGGAGGTAGAGACAGACCTCAACAGTGCTCAGCAATTCTGCAGCTTAAACAGCTTAACATATATCTGTCACACTCTAAACTCCTACTACTGCACATGTGCTCCAGGGGTTTCCTGTATTGAAACTCCTCCTGCAGGTGCAATGACACCCTACTGCCTCTTACAAGGACCCAAACCCAAATAATGGGGAGATATATTGCCTGTCCAGTCCAGGACCCATACCTGACATCCTGTACACCATATAGAATAATGATACTACAAAATGTAAAATTACCCTTACCAGCTAATCAGTAAGAACAATTAAAGAATACTTTTGATTGGGCCTACTGTCATATTTACAGTATACATTTTGCATCAGATGTTGCTGTTGATAGCTTATATTTACATAGCTTAGATTCATTAGTGTCACAAAGAATGTGATTCAAATGTCAAATATGTGTCTTCCAGGCTTCTCCTCCGAATGGAAATCCTTATCGAACTCCATCTTTCAGACAGCAGTCTCTACCAGTTCAGCCTGAAATTAAGCCAGAATACAACCCAGGCCCTATACTTACCAGGTAAATATTGGTGAAGTTTAGATGAACTAGAGCCTGACATACTGTAGACTCTTAGCTCTGTTAAACATTTTGTTCACACCTAAAAGCTTTCTCACTTTTGGCTGGCAGAGGTCAAATGTGATGTTCTTAGTAGCATTGTCTATGAATGCCTGATTTGTGCAGCTGCTTCCCTCTGTATTTTTGTTAGTGGACACATGCTTTCCTACAGTCCACCTAAGGCATTTGCTATACTTAAATCTTGGTTCCTGACCAAGATCAGTAGATACTTGTACTGGTCTTCAATACTCGTATCTTACCATTTGGCACAGACTATCCGGGCAAAGATTACAAGGGAGGGTTAATGTTACAGGTTAGTGGTAGAATACATGGAGAGTTAGGCCTGATTCTCACTGAGCGTATTGTCGCAGCTGATTCAGCGCAACAAAAAGCTTCCCCAAAAAAATCCCATTCATTTTTATGGCCCCTGTTCACACTTGACTGTTTTGTCACAATAAGCAAAACATCTGATAGGCAGAGCCAGCTGTCATTCACACAGCTGGGTGAATCCATCCCGACTGCGGTGGTCTGAGTATACAGCAAACTGTAGCCATGTACCGTGAGCCATGATTCGATCATTATGACTTTGCCCAATCATCGCTTCACAGTTCTCTGTGCCCTGATTGGGCAAAGTCTTGCACCTGACCTGTGGTCAGGTGCAAGGCTTTAGCCAATCAGGGCTCACAAGGCACAGTGCCTTATGGGGAGCTCGGCAGGCAAACAGCCCGCCGAACGTACTGACAGTTCGTGTGTTCGCCGAACACATGAACTGCCAATGTTCGAGCCCATCACTAGTCCAGATGTCCATGAGTATTGACAGTTGTGTCCCCTATAGAGGATGAATGCCTTTATCCAGTGAATTTGTATACACTGTTTATGGAAATCACAATTTACAGTGTTTTGAGGGAGACATTAACTGCATGAAAACCTTTAATATGATTCTTGCCATCCAATGAGTTTTGCAATAGATTATGAAAGTTTATGTATAACTACATGTTATAATTTTTTCTTATAGATAGAGTAGGGAAGGATAAGAACCCCTGTCAAGTTTTTTTTTTTTTTGCTGTCTCTGCTTGGTGAATTTACAAAATCTTAGATCTTTTTTGCTAGAACAAGACACGAGGGTAAATCTTCCATTGGAATCACATGTTCTGGTGACAACTGTATAAAAGGGGTATTCTCCTCACTTTGTTTAGATATTTTCTTACTTTCTGTTGCATCTTTGGGACCGCAAGTGAAGAAATATCTCTTCAATGGCTGAGAGAGAGCAATAAAAAAAAAGAAGAAGAAAGAAAGAAATTGTCAAGGGGTTTTAACCCTTCCCCACGCTATCCAAAATTAAAAAAATTTTTGGTTATACATACAATTTATCTCCTCTATTGTAGTTATTAATAGGTAAGTTCAATATTAATGATTTGTTGTGATATATTTTTGAGGGTCACCTATAATTCTCAGCAATTTCAAGAATGTTTGTTAATCATAGTCTCCCTTCATTTTTCTTCCTAAACAGTTATGAAGCACCACTGCCTGCACAGCCACAAAAATGCGCCAAAATTCGTTATGACTTCACTGCCAGAAATGCCAACGAACTTTCAGTCATGAAAGATGAAGTACTGGAGGTAAGATTGCTTTTATAAATTGTATTATTTTCTTCAATTCCCAAAAGATTATCAGCCTGTTACAGGCCAACATTTTTTATGCTACTGTATATTTTAGGTGTTAGATTTGGTCTTTTTATATATATATATATATTTTTTTTGCAGATTCTGGAAGATAACAAACAGTGGTGGAAGCTGAGAAACAGCATTGGGCAGGAGGGCTACGTCCCATATAACATACTCGATGTAGTGTCAACAGACGAAAGCCAGGTAGACGGACCATATGGCAAGGTAATAATATATTTAATGAGGAAGAACACAGTGGTTGTTCTTATAGGAATTATACAAATGCCCCCCTACCCCAGTCTTAGGGTATGTGAGATAATTGTAAGATCTCATGTCAGTGCAGGTGTCCTGAGCCATGCAACTGACCAGCTGTTGTTCTGAAAAAAAAGTTCAATGGGTTTAGCCAATTCTTAGACATAGTAGATTTAGCTCTGAAAAAAAGCTGGATGATTTGTCTTAAAAATTCTGAAAATGTATAGCAAGAACATAAGGACGTTCCATTTGTGTTTATTAGTATGTTATATGCATGTCTTTGCTCTAAATTATATGTGCTAATGTTGTTGTAGATTGGAAGCAACTACAGAGAAGGAAACCCAAGAAGTCCCATTAGCCCTGCATACAAGCTTCCAAGTAGTTATGCTGGAGATAAATGGGGAAGTGAGATGGCTGGATGGTCAACCAATCAGAATACCAAACAACGTAAGTTAAGTTCTGGTTCTACAGACCTGTACTTTGCCTACGCCCTGTACCTGCAATAGCTTTTCTATCGCCAACCTGCTTTTGAATCCACAACCGAACCCTACCAGGGAGCCCTATACTCACAATCCTACCAAAAATCTAATTTGACTCATACCACTCATTAAAAGGGGTTGTTTTGTGATAAAGTACATTTCTGGCAGAGCTAAACAAACACAGAAGTGTGTAGTCACAGTGGTAATCATATTTCCCAATGCAGGCAACACATGGCTCCGCTGCTCTGCACAAATGCCTCCCTGTCCATATAAAGCTCTGCAGGAATAGTAGGAACTTGCGTTTTCCTGCAGCAGGAATGCCTAATCTGGTGTTTACAAGTGACAGCTGTCACCCATTCAAGTTAATGATCAGGTGACAGCCGCTGCATGGAAACTCCTGCACATCGCATGTAATGGTATCTAATATTACTACATGCGGTTAGAAAACACTAGGGAGAGTGATTGATTCCTAACCAAATGTAATCATATCAAACACCATTACATGCGATGTGCAGGAGTTTCCATGCATCGGCTGTCACTGCTTGTAAATGTCTGATTAGGCCTTCCTGCTGCAGGAAAACGCAAGTTCCTGACGCAGGAATCCCTAATTGCATGTAAAGATACAGGTGTGAATGGAGCCTAATAC